GCCACATGCAGCCCGTAGGCCGCCAGTTTGAAACCCCTGCTTTAAAACATATGTTCCCAAACTTAGCTGGCCTATCACTGACTTAAAAAAAATTTTTTTTTAATTAACTTACTACTCTCCCCGGCCCCAAAAAACTTTTGTACTGTAATCCATTACCCAGGATAAAGTGCAGATAATTGCTTTTTCGGCCCTCCTGGATCATTTCAGGACCCCCAGGAGGGCAGTATCATCCACTTTGGTAACTACTTGAAAGAGTGATTTTTATGCTTTACGAATACTATGTCAATAAACTGTTACATATTTTAAAGCAAAAGAAAAATTAGAATTGGAAAAATTCTATTCTACCTTTTGACTCCACTATTGACTTTATAACTTTGTTCCTAGGATGTTCCTAGGCTAAATCAAAGAGAGTGCACTTTGTTCCACAGACAAGTACAACTGGCTTTATGAAATATCTATGAATAATAGCTTAGTAATCAGTTAGCTAACATACTTGGAATGGTGACAGACACACCTTCAATAATATAATTTTTATGATAAAATATATTTGAGGCACTAGAAACTAAAATATTGTACTCAACTATCAAAGTCTCCCAAACATGCTTTCTAGCACAGAGGTCACTCATTTACCTGCTGCCATTGGTCAATACTGATTCATAAGAACCATATAAGGCAAGGTAGAACTGAGAGTTCCTGAGAGTGTAACTCTTTACTTAAGCAGAAAGCTTCATCTTACCCTCATGGAGCTGCTGGTTGTTTTGAACGATGGATTTCACAGGTAACAGTCCAATATGTAACTATGCCACCAGCGCTCCTTATATCACACGGGTAATATCCCTTTTGAAAAAGGGATAGGGTAGAATGAAGCACAGGAAACCTACCTAATTATTAACCACCAAAATGTTAAAAAAATAAAAATAAATAAATAACGTATCATACACAGCACTAACTAGGAAAAGTCCATTTAAAAAATGTTTAATTGGAACGATACAGAGAAGATTAGCATGGCGCCCTGTGCAAGGATGATATGCAAATTCGTGAGATGTTCCATATTTTAAAAAAAGAGAGACAGAAAAATTTTTTTTTGCTTTTCTTTTGAATTTTTCTATGCTCTCTACCCTACTTGTTCTACCAACGTATTTCCACTGAACTTCTTCCTATGGAAGAAAAAATTAAAAGGCACCTAATATTTATTAAAATATATGCTACACCATCAAGCTCTCATTTAACCTTAACACTAAAATTGATATATTATTACTTTCATTCCTAATTGTGAAAAAAGAGGTGTAAGCATATTAAATATTCTTCAAGGGCAGAGTTAGTGAATGAAGGAGCAAAGATACAGATTATAGAATAAAAAATACACCTCTATTTTTCATTAAAAAGACCTTATTTTTACCTCACACTGACCTTTATGTCTTATTAACCCATCACTCATGCACAAACTCTCACTCATGCATAAACTCTCTTCCAAAATGAAATTCAGCCAAAGAATAAGCAATTGTCAGAAAATATGAAAATGATATTTCTTTTCATTAATTCCTAGATGACAATTTAAAAGACATCCGGCTATCTATAAACGACTTATTCTGTTTACAATTCAAAAGAAATCAACTGTTACTTTGGCTAGCAATTTCTTTTTAATTCTAGACTACAGATAGAAGAAACTGTGTTCAATTACAAGTCCAGTTGAAATGCACAGGCTGTCAGGTTTCACACTAGTGAAGAAAAACACAGGAATGTTTTCAAGTAGGAACAGTCATCTGACAAATATTGTTCTATATTGAAACCTACTATAATTATAAAACAGTTGATGGGCTGGTTTGGGGTTTTTTGTTTGTTTGTTTAATAAATTTATTCTTGGGAAATATGGTGGTACCTGAACTTTGGTTTGGCCATTTTCACACACTTTGTATCCCAGGCAAACTAAGTAAACGAAATACATCAACTAAGTCAATGTGGTAGGTTACAACTACCCCTAACCCCTCTCCAAGCACAAAAGAGATTAGAAATAGGAGTTCATGGGAAATAAGATTCAATGCTGTTTAGCAGAACTTAGTTTTGGAGGAGAAATAATTAAACATATGTGTGTGTGAAAGAATTCTAGTTGTGATATAAATACACTTATTTTATTTTATCAGAAGTAGTTAGAAGGAAAAGAAAGAAAGCCACTGGCCAAGAAGACAACCTCTAAGATTTCTTTTAGTTATACTCAAATCCAATCCTATGAATCCAATGTCTTCCACAGACTCAAAACCAACTCCTAGAGAGTCCCCACACCTCTTCCCCATCGCCATCTCATGTTATTTCAGACCCTGCTGTCTTGAATGGCTCCCACACTCTAGACTGTGCAGCAAGGACTCAAATACAGCCACAGAAGTAAAAACAAACAAGGAGCTTAAATGGTGTTCTCATTAAAGAGGTTGACTGCAACAATGACAAGTCCCGTATATCACTGGTTAACCCGACTTAGAATCCCTGAGTGGTATAAATGGTTAATAAGCTCAGCCACTAACCAAAAGATGAGAGGTTGACGTGTCTATGTAACTGTCCAAAAGAACACTACCTCAAAACTGTAAAATACACATTCTCCTAGTTTCCAACCTGCCACCTGTTCTACCAATTTCAGATAAAAGAATGCCAGAGTTTCTAGCCTATTGCCTGCCCCGCCACAACCGCATGCACCTTCACAACTACATGAGCCAACTCCCTAAAATCAATTCACTCACTCTCATCCTCTCTCTCTATACACACACAGACACACACAAACACAAGTGAACTCTTGACTAATATAGTGAGACATAAGGGTCATTACAAGCACAGCTACAAGTTTTCCCCTGGCTGCCACCCTCAGCATAACGAGGAGTTAGAAAGGATGTGATATTCTGCATGCCCATCTCACTCCTGTGGCTGTTTTCTCACTTCCTTTCTATCATAAAATTATGGTCAGGCATGGGACATCATGGATACCAACAGTATGCTGATGGGTCAAACATGATTCTAGAGCCTTGTTTGCTATGAAATCCAGTTCTCCTCAGTTAGGCAAGGGTGGCCAAGATAACAATGTATCTTTAAGATGTACTAGGGGCAGGTCCCAGTAGCTCCAGATGCTGGCAGAGTGGCAGTAGCCAGGCAACCCAACTCTGAGAATGTTCTAGGCCTACAGGCATCCAGCAAGTGCCTTCCCGCACCCAAGATGCTCAAGAGGAAAAGTCAGATTGGCCAGAGGAGCAGTGAAGAAAGAACCCAAGAGTAGATCCACCAGGTTGTGGTCAAAACCTGCACCTGCGAAAGTGAAGATTGGAGATGAACACAAAAAGGGTAGCAAAAAAGGCTAACTCTTTAGACAAAAATATTGGAAGCAAAGGGGGAAAGCTGCAATGGCTAAACAAGAAGCTAACTGTGACAGTTATATAACTGTCAATTTGAGAGGATTATGAGCGAAGGGGTGGAGTCTAGTCTGTCAATCAGATAATAGTCCATGAGGGCACTGTGTGGGCATGGCCTTCTCCTGAGAATTTTGGGAAATCTGGTACTTCCTCCTTGAAGGTGGGAGACTGCTCACACCCTGGGAGACATAGCAGCTAACAAGACACATGGACCCACCCTGATGCAGAGACCCCTGCCAGCATTGAGATGTTTCCACTGACACTGGATCCAAAGACTTTCTACTGACTGGCCTGTGAATTTCTACATTTGGCGTCATTGTATGTGTCGTGAGTCTGAAGAGGACTTTATAGATTGGTATCAGACATATGGGCTAATATTGGACTTACGGACTTGATCTGGACTGGGCTGGGATGTTTTCTCAATGTTCAATTGTCCTTGTATGTAAATCTCTTTCTTATACACATAAGTGTGTCCATGGATCTGTTTCTCTATTCTACCCAGACTAACACACTAACCAAGATTTACATGACGACAATGGAGAAAGGAAAGCCAGGAGAGGCCAGTCTCAGATGAAGCAGGAGAAAAACCAGCCAGGTCTGATTAATGTTTACCTACCATGTCTTATCAGTGGACCCCTACAGTATCTCCGTTCTTGAACAACCCAGAATATTTTATCAACTATTTTTTAAATGCAAGTTTTTAATAGCTCTAAAAACATTTTTGAGGAGGAAATCCCACTTCATCCCAGTTTTTAAAGTAAATGCTTTTTTTTTTTTATTTGTTACTGCATTTTTTTTTCTTTTTTAACATTTTATTAGGGGCTCATACAACTGTTATCACAATCCATACACACATCAATTGTGTAAAGCGCATTTGTACATCGTTTCTCAAAACATTTTCTCTCCATTTAAACCCCTGACATTAGGTCCTCATTTTCCCCCTCCCTCCCCACTCCCCCCTCCCGCATGAGCCCTTTATAGTTTATAAATGGGTATTTTGTCATATCTTGCCCTGTCCGACGTCTCCTTTCATCCACTTTTTGGCTGTCTGTCCCCCAGGGAGGAGGTCACACACAGTTCCATGTAATTGGTTCCCTCTTTCCTACCCATTCTCCCTTTACCCTCCCTGTTTTGCCACTCACACCACTGGTCCTATAGGGCTCATCCGTCCTGGATTCCCTGTATTTTCAGTTCCTATCTGTACCAGTGTACCTCCTCTGGTCTAGCCAGTCTGTAAATGCTTTTTTAAAGACATGAAATCATTTACTGGTTGGTACAACCAGAAAATAATGGGATGCTGAATTGTAGAAAGATTTGACTGTCTTGGGTGTCAACATAACATTCTATGGGATGGGGGAAAGTTTTGTATCCCTAATACAAAACGTACTGTAATGTTCGAGCTCCTGGCCAGGAAGGGGTGGTACACCTAGGTGAGCGTTACACCTGGATTGGCCCATCTAGGCCAGGTGAATTTGATTCAGCCAATGGGGTCGTCCTGTATCATCAACCATGTCTCCCAACAAAGGGGGCCGGGAGTAGGTGGCTGAAAAGCCAGAAGCTGGCTCTGGAGACCACTCTCCCAGTGCTGCTACACAGTGCAGGGAGGCCTGGCTGCAGTCCGGGGCCGCCGGTCCCACAACCACGATGCCCCGCAACCACGATGCCGACTGTCTGCCTTGTGTTCCATTTACTGCAAAACGTGAAACTGCTTCTAACTTTCATAAAATTCACTTGGATCACAAACCAGGCTTCGGCATTAATTCATTCTCGTGTAAAGCCAAGGACCAAGGTATCTCTCTCCCACAAGAGACGGAAGAGTACTTAGTGGCAATGTGGAATCGTGGTCATGTATTTGTATGATTTGAACATTTTAAATGCTATTTCCATGATGTTTTTTATTAGAATTGTTTGAAAACCGTTCCTTCATCATGGCTTTCACCAGAACTATGTGTTCTGTAACACCTTTGGTCAGGATAGTAGTTTCCCTGATAACTTGTGTTGTAGTGTATGATGTAGAAGGTCGAAGGGTTGAGTATGTATTGTGTGTGACATTAAAGTGGGAAATAATAGAACTCTTCATGTAACAATTTATCAACATTTGAATATATTGGTACTTGAGGTCCTCTTTAAAATTTGCTTCCAAATTTAAAACTAGGAAGTAGGTAATTTTCTTTAAAAAACATGCCATTTTAGAATTTTGGGATGTGCTTTAAGAACTATATACAAATTATTCATAATGCCTCTGTACTGATCCTCAAAACAATGAAAAAAATACCAGTTATGGAAACAAAAAGATGACTAGGGCAAGAAGCGAAGGGCAAGGATGGTCCTATGGTACAATTCTCAAGTCTTATGTGGGAAACCTGGGTTTGATTCCTACTATATGCATCATTCAAGAGATACTTGTGTCTATGATGCTAAACAGGTTTCTGTGGAGCTTCCAAAATAAGACATACTAGGAAAACAGGTATATTTATGCCCAAATCAAGCCAAAGATAACCCAATTAGTCATGTTTCACTCCACTGTACATGCGATAGCCATGAATAGGGTGCCTGTCTATGTAACTGTCCAAAAGAACACTACCTCA